AACTAAGAGATTTCAACGTGTGGTTAACTATATACCTTCCAAGTACAATAAACTACTTGCCTACTTATGACCACGTCCACCACATTTCGGGCAAAGAATAGTGCCTGAACCACCACAACCTGGGACAAAAAAAACAAAAGATACACAAAATCGTCCGTGTGAACAAACCATTGGCACGAAACAAACTGTCATGCAAGGGAACTAGGGAATAGAAAGAGGGCCTATGGGCCAAAGGGAAAGGTGATAAGATGTGGAACGTAAGACGCGTCAGGTGAGGGAAGGGAAGAAAAATAGTGACGACAAGAGGAAAATATATCATGAAGGAATTGGTGCATGAGGCAGGTGGGAGCAACATGCGGGAGGCCAGGCACTAAATCATTGGGGGAACGAGGTAGACGGGCTGAGGGTTGGGAGGGGGCGGGGAGGAGGAGGGAGAGGGAGGGGGAAAGGGGGAAGAGGGGAAAGGTGGTGGCAGATTCCTAATTCACATATGAAAAGAAGAAACGTAGCACAAGAAAGTCACCATGCATCATGCATGCATCTTCATATCAATTCAACATCAACGCAAACACCACAAATGGCAACATGGACATTAGACCTGGGACGGCCACCTTCATTCCCCGCACCAGCTCACCCTTCCTTACCCTCCCCCCCCCCCCCCTTACCCTCTTCCCCCCTACCCAACCCCTTCCCCTCCCCCGAGCACGTACCGAGGCAGCGCACTTTAACGATGATGCCTTGGCACTCCATGATAGGATCCACGTACAACCCGGACGCCGCGCATGTAGCGCAAGGCACCGACCCCGCCGCCTCGCACCCGCCGCACTCCTCCTGCCCCGCCACCAGCCTCACCCGCTCCAGCACCACCGGCGCCGCCGCCGCCGCCGGCGCATCCCGCGAAGCCTCGGCGGCGGCCTCGTCGGCCTTGTGCATCGCGATTGCGCGCGATCGCTCCATGGCGCTGCGGTAGCGCGACGGGAGGTCCGCGGTGGCGGACGAGTGCGACTGGGGGGGGGGGGGATTCACACGGTGCAGATGTAGGATGGAGGGTTTGCAGGGGGGGGGTGGGGGGAGGACGGAGAATTGTGTTGGGGTGGGAAGGGGGGAGAAGAGAGGGGAAGTGAGGAGGGGGAAGTCGTGGGGATATAGAGTGGAAATGAATTACGAATAGAAAGAACGGCCGCAATTGTCACGGTTTGTACGCGAGACGAAGGCACAGCGCAAAAACTCTCCGTACCGCGCCATTAACGATCGTGGCCGAGCTGCGACCATCGTCCGTCGCGCTGCATCGCACACACACGCGGGCACTGGCAGCGCTGCGCGTGCTGCTGGCGAATTGACTCTTTAGTAGGCTGCTAGACGAGGCGGAACTGCTGCTGTCCAGAACCCGCAATTGCTTGGAAACTACGTCGGAAGTTAGCGACAGGGAGGAAGCCATGATTGCGAATTGGGATTGCAGGGCGATGCAACACACGTCTAAGAACCAAAGCACCTAGGACCTGCCCTAATTGTGAAAGCTGAATCACACGGGCTTGGGAGAGTTTGGATCAAGGAGAGCGAAGAAACGGAAAAGCCGCAGTTGATTTTGACAAAGCAGGACGAGAGTGTCCTTGCAATCGCGGCGCGATCTGTGTGCGGGAGGAAGCGTAGGCAGGGGAGTGGTGGTCTGTTTGCAGTTTTGACTGGAGTTGAGGTAGTGAGTGAGTGAGTGAGTGTGGTGGTGGGGAATTGGGGATGGGGGGGAGCATGAACAGACCCATCTTTGTGGACGCAGGATGCATTCACATCGGGATCGACGTGGCGATCCACGTGGCGGAGATGGCGCTTGGACGAGGTGTCATTGCAAATGTGACCACTTTGTACCGGCTATATGTGAATCGTTTTGTCTTGGTAAAGCTTGGGAGAATGGAAAATATTTGTTGGCGCACTCTACAATCATTCCACCAGCATCACCTCAGTTGAGTCTGTTAAATTTTACCATAGCATGCATCAATATGGGTCATTGACAAAAAAATCTGGAATACTGGATCTATTTAAACAAACTGACGGATGTTAACCTTGCTCCTCGCAATCAGTAGTTGTGTAAAGGAAGACGAAGTATATGGCCATGTGCATGAAGGGCCAATTAGTCGTTGACACAATGCCTTTTTTGTTGATGTTGGCATGTGCAGTATAAATGTCAGAAAACTTGATGCAGCTGAACATGGAGAACGCCCCAATCCACCCCACGCCTACAACACAGGGGAACTCCCCCAGCCACACCTCCATTTTGGCAGCATTCATGCCGCGTCTGCTCCCCTCTCTGGTGACTCCTGCGGCTCACTCCTCCCCCTCTTGAATGGCGCCTCCCCCAGCACCACCCCCCCTGCTTCGTTATCTGCTTCCCGCTTCCTCTTTTCGGCCATGATTCCCCGTTGCCTGAGAGCTTCCACCACCGGCACCAGTCTTCCAACCAGCTGATTCAGCAACATTTTAACCATCAACGTTCTGTTTTTCAACAGCTCGCCCGTGCCAGCATTTCGCCCGCACTGACCCTGTGCAATCACGTCACCGCTCGATGCTTCAGACACACAGCAGCTCCGCTCGCGGCTGCTGTCCGTATCCTCCTCTTCGTGACCTACCATACGCCCACCTGCCACGCCAGACTCTTGGTCAGAAACCGCAGGAACAACAGCCCGTGGGGAGCGCTTGCGCTCATCCCACCTGCGCATGATTTCCGCGGTTCGCGCCCGCCAGTGCTCTCGCCACGCTGACTCGCACAGCAGCCGGCCTTCGGCGCCGAACTTGTGCGTGCAGCGGGAGCAGCGGCATGCGAAGCGGTTCTTGGAATTCGGAGACGCGGCAGACTCAGTGCATTTGACAGCGGAATCAGGAAGGGTGGAGCTAACGCGAGGCTCTGCGAGCTGCATTCCGTGCTTCTGTTGCTGCTGCTGCATCTGCTGCTGCTCTGCTACTCTCCTTTGCCCCTCTCTCTTGTCATCGAGCTGCAGAGCCTTCAGAAATTGCTGCTCCCGGCTGTGCTGCTGCTGCACGGTGCGAGGCAGCACCGTTGACCGTCGGCCGCAGCGATGGACGCAGCAGCAGCTCGCCGTACCCGCCATTGCTTGAGCCTGCGCCCCAATTGCTGCTCTATCGTAAACCGCTGCCGAGACGACTTTTCTCGACTGAGACTTGAACATGAAATCGTTTCAGAAAAACAAAACACTCGAATTTGTTCACGGTACAAGTCAGTGACAATCCTAATCCGGGAGCAGCGCGGAATAGAACTAAAGGAGCGCTTAGTTGAGGAAGTTTCAAGGCGGCCGGTAGGCGTAAGGGCCCAGTCAGGCAAATGTTGCAGAAGCGGCGAGCCTGAGAGCCCTGAGAGATCCGCGTGACGGAAGGTAGGAGCTCTATGGATGGGTGTCCAAACGATACACACCCGACTGCTTACTAGAGAGTCATGATGTATGAGAAATATACGAATGGATTGACGAGGTTCACGGTGACATCTGCGGCGTGGCTTTGCAATGGGGCACTCGAATCGTGCGTGCGACCCATTCCCAATGTATCGCACACCGCCGTGGACGCGAAATGGGGTTCCCATTTTCACGTACATGGCGCCGCCACTGGATCCGGCCAGAACCGCGAAGTGCCGAGTGCTGTTCTGTTTTCGAATGGAGATCGGCGTCCAAGTTGTACGGGCTGTGTAGCTATCACAGCTGTTATGAGGAGGATATTGGGATGGGACTATACCGTGGCGTGGCGTGGCAGTGGATTGTCGACGGGTAGCCTATCTAGAAGCAGAAAACGACAGGAAAAACTCGGCTGCATTCGTAGCCTGCACCTGAAAGGCGCACACTCCACTACGCCGCTAGATGTACGAGGTACTGGCTGGAGGGTTGTTAGCGGCGTGCCAGCGAAAGGGGACCAGGAGAATGGGGTAAGCTCTGTTGCGCCAGCGACAAACGGCGGACGAGACGCATGGCACGATGCGGCATGGGACTATAGTGTCTGTCGCTTACGGCAGGATGAGATGCATAGGAGCGTGGTAGGATGTGATAATAAAGGGAGGAGTGATACGGTGGAGCGAGATTGGAAGGAGGCATGTGCATCACTAGTAGTGCGATCTACGGCAGTGGCGGTGGTGGCAGCGAAACGTGCGACCAAGGTGGCGACGGAGTGGCTTCGAGCGAGGAGGCGCTCCAGCGACGACTAACACCGAGAAAATGGTACGAGCAGATCAGATCGGTTGCGGCGGTTGCAGCGACGACTAAAACCGAGAAACGGCAGGGCGCACTACCGCACAAAGGAGGAAGGAGAGTGGAAGAGTTGGTTGGGGAGGTGCAAGGTGAGTCTCGACTCGAGCTAGGTAGGCAGGCGAAATCGGGTCAGATGTTTTGGTTCGGCAGGATTGGAAGAGCCGGGGGCACGATGTTCCCTTCTGTTGCTGAAAGTACATGCGATTCGGCGAGCGCTTCGACCGAATAACACAGTGAGTATTCAACCACCTGAACAAAAAGAACGGCTCGGCATGGAGGTGTACTAGAGATTGCAGTTCCGGACGAATACTTGCTAGAGTGTAGTATTTTGCCAGGGTAATGTGGCTCGTTTTACCTGCCCGTGGACGGCCTCCATTCATTCGGTCAACTTTGTGAAGGCTTCACTTCTGTCAGGTGACCGCACGAAATGCGCCGTAAAACACGATGGACGGGGTCATCTTCATGACAATGAACTCGCTACACAGATGAAACAGTAGTTAAATATGCAGAATAACATAATATATGCTATATGCAAAACATGTAGACATTGTTAATTCTGACTAAAATCAATTTGGTAAGAAGTTCGATCGAGCGGAGGTGCTATTGCCACATGGATCCCTATAGTGCAGCTCGGAAGACTTACCATAGGCGACGTGGGCAAGAGGCGGTGTTTGTGCGAGTAAATGAGATTCCATATCCCAAAAGACCGATGGCGTATGAGCACCCACCATCCCACCACGGGATTCTGATAGGAGCTTGTCACCTCTCCACTCCATCATTCCTGCGTCCTGCACAGTATTGTAATTTGTGGTGGGATGAGCCAAACCAATCATTGGGGAAGTTGTTACACTCATATCTGTGCCGGCTTCTGCTGTTGCTGATTCTGGAAAAGAAGCTGTTGCCGGTGCTGATCCTGCCGATGTTGCTGCTGCAGCAGCAGCAGCAAGGCTGCTCTGGGGCCGTGATCCCAACTGCCAAAAGTGCGAGAAGGTCGGAGCACTTCCACATCTCTCTCTCGCAGGGGACGCAGGGAGAGATGCCGCATGCCCCGTGCCACGCCCCCTCTGCACTTGTGCTGCTGCTGCTGGGCCTGCAGGTGCATCAATCTGCAGGTGGGAGACGGCAGCAGCAGCAGCAGCAGCAGCAGCAGCAGCAGCAGCAGCAGCAGCAGCAGCAGCAGCGCCAGAGCTATGGCCCGAGTAATCACTACACTGGAGCTGCGAAGGGAGGTTTGGCACAGGGAGAAGCGCAGACGATGAGGGGGGAACCTGAGGGGCTGGCAGCTCGTGAAGCATGTCCGGCAGGGATCCGCGCCTGCGGACTAGCCTTGAGAGCGGCTGGTGGAGCTCCGGCTGTGGCAGGGACTGCTGCCGACCCAGTACATCCAGCGTGCTCCTTTTCCGCTGCTGCTGCTGCTGCTGCTGCTGCTGCTGCTGCTGCTGCTGCTGCTGCTGCTGGTGATGCTGCTGCCCCTGCAGGTTTGGCACAACTTGCTCCTGTTGCGGCTGCAATGGGTGTGAGAGCAGGGCGGCATCTTGAAGCAACGGCTGCCAGTGGCTGTCAAGAAAGGTATTCACAGGCCCCGAAAACACACATGCTGCTCCCATCGCTCTTGCACCTCTTGCTGCTTCTTCTGTGCCTGTTGTTGTTGTTGCTGCTGCTGCTGCTGCTGCTGCTGCTGCTGCTGCCGGTCCACCAGCATTCTCACTGCCTTCCCTGCCCTCCCTGTGCCCACTCCACCCACTGCTCTCTTTGCTCCTCACAGCTCCGATGTTGTTCGGCCCAGACACAGTAGCAGCAGCAGTGACAACACTGTGCCCTGTGCCGCCCTGTGCTGCCAGCACCACCTGCTCCACCTCGCCACCACCACATTTACCACGTTGACCGGGTTGATCAGGCTGACCAGCTCGACCGGGAGGACCAAGTTGACCGAGTTGACCGAGTTGACCAGCATGGGGGCCATGCGTGGCATGAGCACCACCACCATCCAGCCACACATCCATGGCCTCTGCCATCCAACTGTCCCCGTCGCATGTGTTGTACCCGCATCTGCCAGTGGGGCCATCAGTGCCAATACCCGCACAACTCATGGGGGTAATATTAGTGGTAACACCCCCACCGCTCAGGCCATCTGTATTCCCAGCGTTCAGTATACCCACCTGCTCCACCCCCTCAGAATCCATCATTTCCCTATCCCCCATGTCATTCACTGTACCGTCCTCCTGCCCATGCCTGTCTGCATGGTTCTGCTGCTGTGCATTTGCGTCCTCTGCAGCCGTGCTCCTTGTGTTCCAATGAGTGGCGGTGGTGAATACCAGAGCCGACGCGCCCTTGCTAATCTCACCAGAGCGCTGCTGAGCATTTTGATGGCAATGCTGCTGCTGCTGCTGCTGCTGCTGCTGCTGCTGCCATTGTTGCTGCATCTGCGGTTGAGGCTGCAGTGCGGAGTAGGAGGGAGCGGGTACCTGCAGCAGCGATGCAAGAGGCGAGTGCACGCCCCACACGATCGTAGCAGCCGAGGCCACTGCAGCAGACTTACACCCCCCTTCTCCACCTCCTCCTCCTTCTCCTCTTCCTCCTGCTGCTCCTCCATCCCCACCAGCAGCACCACCAGCATCTGTGGCAGGGCCCCCTAGAACACCCGAGGAAGCACGGAGCACCTCTGGCCCACATTGCTGCTGCCTCGCCAGCAGCCGCACGTCTCCCGCACCCACGTCTCCCGAATGATCCACTGCCATTGCACTCGCCCTCGCATCTCCCCGCATCTGCCCCCTTGCATGCTCCCCCTTCACCATTTCCTCCTCGCTGCTGCTCCCCAGCAGCAGCTGCTGCCACTCGCCTCTTACGAGCGGCCCCAGATGAGCGTACGTGGCTCCAGCACCCGCCATGATTCCCCCGCCGCCGCTGCCGCTGATGCCGCTGCTGCCGCTGGAGGCGTGATGCCATACTGCAGCGGCAGCGGCAGGCTGCAGCTGAGCCGTGCCTTCGTTCCAGCCAGCGCTTGGGTTACTTGGGAGTTCTGGTGGCTGCTGCTGCTGCTGCTGCTGCTGCTTATGTGGAAAGCTGCCATTGGTGGTGCACGGCACTTGGCTGTGCTGATTCCCTACGACATGTACACTTGTCGCCCGCCCTCCTCCCATCATCCCAGAAGCAGGAGCAGCCGAGATGATGGGAGGAGGCGAGGGCGCTGTAGGAGGAGGCGGAGGAGGAAGCGGAGGAGAAGGCATTTGAGGGGCGGGAAGGGAAGGAGAAGTAAAAGGAGGAGAAGCAAGGGGAGGAGAAGCAAGGGGGGAGAAGCAAGGGGGGGAGAAGCAAGGGGAGGAGAAGCAAAGGGGGGAGAAGAAAGGGGAGGAGATGGAAGTGAAGGGGTAGGAAGGGGAGGAGAAGGATGGGGAGGAGAAGGAAGGGAGGGAGTAGGAAGAGGAGCAAGAGGAGAAGTAGCCTGGGATGCGTTGCGGAACATTGTAGGAGCAGCTACCATTGGTGCTGCTGTGAGATCACGAGTGCTGGAGCAGAGAGCAGAGGAAGAGGAGGGCAGTGGAACCCGAGAAGCGTGAGAAGCCGCTCGGGACGACGAGGAGGGTAGAATCCTGGGAGCAATGGCGAGGTTGCGAGGACCCGAGGAGGAGCCAAGAGCGGATGAGAAGATGCTTGTTCTGTTGCGCCGCTTCTGCCTCGTGTTCCAAAAGTTCTTTATCTCGTTGTCCGTGCGACCCGGTAGCTGCACGAGGGGATGGCGGAGGGTCATGGGAGTGCAGTGGGATGGAGAATGGTGAGGAAAGGTGGCTTCTGAGACGACGCAACGCAACGTGAGAGCTTGCCGACTGACTGACTGACCGATTGCAACGACTTGACTCGGATCGTTCACAGAATCACCATCAAAGTCCCTCCCTCCTCTCCTCCCACGTACGTGTGATGCTATCCGCGCCCACTTGTTGCCGTACTGCTGCTGCAGGCGCACAATGGTGCGCTCCTCCTCTGCTGTGATGCCGCCCTTCTTTAGGTTCGGCCGGAGCTGGTTCGCCCACCGCAGCCGGCAGCTCTTGCCACAGCGCGCCAAGCCCGTGTGCTGCTGCACCAGGTTCCAATTGCCTTCTCCGTACTGCCAGCAGAGAGAACAGGGGAGGGGGAAGGGGGAGGAGAACGTGGGGATTTTGTGAGTCGACTCAAGGATCGGCAGCTCTTGCCACAGCGCGCCAAGCCCGTGTGGTGCTACACCAGGTTTCCAATTGCCCTCTCCGTACTGCCAGAAAAGAAAGGGGGGAGGGTGGAGGAGAACGGAGGGGATTGGCAAGGCAAGGACATGATAGGGTAGGAGGTGGGGGAGAGGAGCACGGGATGGAGATGGGTTGGAAGGAGGTATGGCTCCTTACCAGCTGCTCCGAGCAGATCCCATCTGTGCCAGGCTTTGCCTTCGGTAGTACTACTTTCTGAGGTGGAAAGGAGGCCCTTGAGCTGAAGCTCAAATATTCTGGAACACCAAAAAAATGAAACTGTGGTGCGGAGCTTGCGCAGCTACTGGTAGTACTACTAATAGATCAACAGGAACGCTTCCAAAGCACACTGCCTTGGATTCCAAAGCACACTGCCTTGGATTCCAAAGCCGCAATGCTTGGGATTCCAAAGCACTGCCTGGATGCTTGAGAAGAGCCCTGAAAGCTTGCCAGCGAGGCGCACCTGCCTGACGTGCTGCCACAGTAGCTCGTCTTCCACGGCCGTCCATGGCCCCTTGCGCAGCCCATCGCTGCCTACCACCGCCGCCATTCCCGGCGCCGCGTCCCTTCCTTCCCACGCAGCGCCGGCGGATACTGCGGCTGGTGTACCATCGTTGCTACTACTAGTAGTACTGGGAGTAGCACCACTACTATTACTAGTGCCAGGATTATCAGTACTGCCACCGTGGCTGGGACTGCCTGTGGGAATTTTATCCTCATCCGTGACTACCATACCGCTTGATAAACCAGACAGCAGTGGGCTGTTTTCACGTTGATCTCCACTATTCGTCACGAAGTTGGTACTCGTTGTAGTGCGGTCATGATCGCCGCACCCGGACGACACGCTTCGGCTGCCGATTAACCGCGAACTATTACTCGAATGCGCGTTGTACTCCATGGCTGAACTGGCACGGAGACAGAGCTGTTTTGAGCCCCTAAACTTTGACAAAATCGCTCACACTTTGAGCCTCGGAGGCTCAAAAGTAGCCTCCATAATCGTTAGCTTCCTGCCACGCTTCCATAATGATGTACTTCACTTGCACCAGTGCATTAATGACAATCTACTTCTAGTCGTACGAGTAGTACTTGTTAAGACTTCCGCTTATGTTGACTAACTGTCTCTGCCTGCACTACATCAGTTCTCACAAGCTGATGTGGTCTGCCCACAGCACAGCACACAACACAACACTGTACACAGTACAGTACAGCTGCAGAATGTTGTGTAACGTGTTGTGTACACTTATTGTAATTGCTACCCCTTCCTCGTACCGTGCTACACCCGTCCGCTCCCCCACATTCTCCCCATCGGCATGACAAGCACGGCAACCCCCTCCAGGATTTTCCACGATCCTATCATCATCGTCCCTTAGGACCAGCCCGTTGATAATAAATTACCACCGACAGTATTTATACCATGAATATCTCTTGAGGGTAATAGATTTCATAAAGTGTATTCCCAACAATCTAGAAGTCTGCAGTTTTCCACGCCCTCCTACACACAGCAAAAGCGTACTGGCTAGTAGTGTTTTGATCAAAGTGTCAATGTGCCTTGGAGGTGCTCATGTTTCTTGAGGTCGCAGCACATTTTCTCTGATGCTTTACATGAATGGAGGGGCGTCTTGATGCTGGCTCTACCCTGTAACATTTTGAGTTGAGTCCTGCTAGCCCTCCTTTTATTCCTGACTAACCCGTGTTGCCGTTTGTGAACAAAATAAAAAATATCCGTGAGCAGAGATGACCTGAAATGCTGCCAACCGAGAAGATCAGACTGACAAGTTGAGTGACAAGTTCGATTCGAACCCCTAAACCACATGTCGCGGATTTGAACAGAGGCATCCTTCATCAGATACGATTCTGTTTATCCTTATAGAATCTGAGAGTCCATGTGAGACTCTCGTGGTCCGCTCTGGTGCAGTCTCCCGTGGCAAAGGACACCCTTTTTTAGGACTCCTTCAGAGTCACCCTTCAGAGTCACCGCATTGGAAAGTTGAGCCTGAAATCAACGAGTTTGCATATTATTGGCCGTGTGCTTCAAAACACATGTTTTTTGCTGTCAACATACATAAATTTTGTAAGTTTCAGAGGAGTCCGTTGCACTCGCACAATGGTGGTATTTCCTTTTCAAGTTTCGGAGGGTGGATGCTAATAGCCACCAAAACTCTAGTTTGGCAGCGAAGCCGGAAAAAAGAAAGTCCTGGGTGGCAGCATGACGAAATTCATACTGCAACTCGTCACGGCAGGATGCATCCACCGACTAGACTGGCTGTCTCGCAGTTGAACAACCATTTTCAATCCTTCCGCGTGTCAATGTTCGTTGTCGGCAAGCAAGCGTCCTCAACATTTTCAAGGGTGGTGCCCCTGGCCTTGACTGTGTTTGACTGGTGACTGATCTGTTGTTGGTGGGTTCAGTGCTGTAAAGGACGGAATAAAAAGCCGCAATGCTGTTTGTTAGGGAATATTGTGCGTGTACACCCTCATTCTCACCTTTCTCACCGTTGGAAGCACTGGCTACAGTGTTTGGACGTAGCGGGCTGGTGCGATAACTTGGTGCGGGCAAAGTCGCACGACGTGACGAAACAATCCTCGGGCCACCCTAACCCGTTTACGCTGAATAACTGTCTTAACCGTTCAAAATATAACAGTACTATTCTAGAACGTATTCAAACTTGACTAAACGCCTTTGGTCAAGTTGTCACTATAACGTGGGACCTTCTTTGGTCCGGTGCGGCTACACTAAGCGTCTCGGTCAGTATAACATATGCCAGTCTATCGAGAATGAGGGTGTACAAAGCTAGATGTGATTACACGTACAAGGTTCACCACATTCGTTCATTCACATGGGACGCGGTTGGTGGTCAGGTCAGGTCATCACGACGAGTGTTGCCGGCTTCTGGCGTGAACCCAACCTCCAAGAACTGCCTCGCTCGCGTGGTGCGCCTGGCGTGGGACTCTCAGCTCTGGTCGCTTGCTTGCAGCGAGCAAGCCCAAGCCCTGAACCCCACATTTTGTGTCTGGTGCACCCGATTTTGATCATGCCCAATATTCAATCACCGAATTGTTCTCCTTTGTCCTGGCTGGGTGAGTTGGGCTGCGTCGTGCCTCGTTCCATCCAACTGGTGACATGGGGCTACGACTCGCATTTGGAGGCTGGATGAGGAAACGTGGTTGGAAATACTCACGTAGAACTGTTTTCCCCCAAAATTTGACCCTCGATGATAAAATACGACAAGCCGCAGCCAGTTTCCCAAAAGCTTCTGCAGTCTGGCCCATAGGAAACGCGGCTGAACAATTGCTCCGATGATAATTCCTTCCCGAACCTCCGAAAATGAAGTGGCTTCCTGCCGCACCCTTTGTACAGTAACAGCCGACAGATTTCGACACTGCTTGTGAGGCAGGTGAGCTTCACGCGGAGAGAACGATTCAGGGGCTGTTCGGGAGCCCCGAAACAGAGGATGAGGACGCTGCTCAGTACCGAACCTGAAGAATAATAACGACAACACACCAGTTGCATGATTGAACAGTGGAGACAGCTGTGCAATCAGATTCGCCAGCTGGAGAAAATGACAGACATGTGCATAGTCAACGCCACAAATTGAGCAAGAACGACAACCACCGCAAGCCGGGGGTCAAGATGCCAAATCGCCTCTACCATCTCATCGGAACTCTCAACTCCCCATTTCCTCTCCAAACCCAAATCGTATTTTCTAAACCGAAGCATCCCTTGCAACACCAAAAAAAACCACATCCACAATACAACTCAACGTACAGTTTCGTTTGTACAATGTCTGCCCTGAGTAATCACGATGATGAAACAGAGATGCCCAACAAAGTTTCTTGAGTACTGAGCCTCACTTTCTCCTCGCCAGAGCATGGCGAGGTGAAAGTCAGCAGACAATTGCCTGTGATTACTGTGCAGTCAATGGACTGTAAGGGCAGCGCCTCGGAATCTCGAGCCGCTGCAGAGGAGAAGATGAGGTTGAAGGTTCAAAACCTGGAGGTTTGGTCACAAAAGTGGTCGCAATGGGGTCGCAGGCGATTTTCGGGCTTCCGAGCCTCGCAAAATTGATCCTCTGGATCTGGTTCTGCTCTTCCTCTCTTGCTCCCGAACACCGCCTCAATGTGGCGTCGTTACTTTCAGAGACTGGGCCATGTAACGGGACTAGGCCTTTCCAAAACACCCAGAGACAAGAGGTCTATATCGTGGGTTCTGCCCGATTTTCAAGGGCTGAGAGCAAGTAAACCCAAACCCTCTACATCGGTAGGCTAAGTCTGATTTCCACATAAAAAAAAAAAACCTGATCAGAAACCCCCTCTCCCCCGCCTCCTCCCCCCACCCCCAAGATAAGCACATACTTTTCTATGCACTGTATGCACCTTATGTTCCAAAGCAGTGTATGCACTGTATGTTCCAAAGCTCAAACATATTAGTGAATTTCAGCACAGCACGGCGTGCCAGGGACACGAACGATCTTATGTACTCCATGCATGCAAAATCAGGCTTACCACATTCTATTGCAATGGGAGGAGTGAACGAGCATGAGAGACTATCATGTGCAGAGTAGGAGAAGCAGCGAGATGTAGGGGAAGAGGGTGAAGATGGAGGACAGTGTGGGGCAGTGGAGGGGAGAGAGGTGTGCAACAGCGGAAGGGAGAGGAGAGAGGCATGGGGCCATGGAGGGGAGAGAGGTGTGCGGAAGCGGAACGGAGAGAGGTGTGGGGCAGAGGAGGGAGAAGCCATGAAGAGAGGTCACAAGGGTGGGAGAGGGGAATGGGGTTGAGATGCACGGGACAAGGAGAACTGTAGGTGGATTGAAGTACGAGTGGATCAAAACGAAGCTTCAGAGAATCTTCTCCGCAAACCTTCCAGTGCCCGCATGGCACAACAAGCACCTGCCATGGCATGAAGCAGCAAGCTTGATCCCAACACAGCACAAAGCCACTGCTGCTGCTGCTGTCTGCTGCTCCTGCTGCTGCTGCTGCTGCTGCTGTCTGCTCATGCGCCTATGAGCCAAAAACCCTGTGAAGCAATCGATCCATTACAAGCCCACGGCCATGGCACCAGTACAAGCCCATCACCCCATGAGCACGTTCCTGACTTGGTCCGCAATGTAGAGGCGGGTCTTGAGCTTGGAGATGGGCTGGCCCCCCCTGTCCTGCAGAATCAGGCGGTACACCTCCCATGTGCGCCCCCCCATCTCATGCCGTGCTATGTCCGCCTGCTCGTGCCAGGGCGGTGACGTGGCAGGCGGGTGACGTGGAAGGGGGTGACGTGACGTGGCAGGGCGGGGGAGAGAGGGGCGGAGGAAGGAGAGGAAGGGGAGAGAGGGGCGGAGGAAGAGGGGGGGGAACCAAGGAAAAAGAGGAGAAGGGTAATGGTGAGTTAACACAGCACACACCCAACACACTCTCGACACACTTCCATCACACATCCAACACACACCCAAGACACTCCTAACACACCCTGCGGAGGCGCATGGGGTCCAATAAATCCCTCAACAGCAAATCCTTCAACACTCCACGTGCACCACCCACCAGACCCCACAGCTGACCCCACCTTGCACGCTGCTCCACTCCACTCCACTCCACTCCACTCCACTCCACTCCACTCCACTCCACTCCACTCCACTCCACTCCACTCCACTCCACTCCACTCCACTCCGCTGCACGCGGCATGCGGCTACACTGGACCCACCCCATGCCCCAGAGGCACCACTCCGCACCACACTGCACCATCCAATACCCTCCCATCGCTCTCCCCCCCTCTCTCAGATGTTCAGACAACAACGGGAGTGCTGCCACCACCAGCAGCTGCCTGGCTGCATCGTCAAACCCTCACTCACCTTTGATATACATAATACACCCACCAGCGCCCCTGCATATTAACCCCAGGCCCAACCCCATTCTCAATCCCTGACCTAATCGTGAACCCTGAACTTCAACACTGGAATCTAAGCCTATACCGCAAACTTGAACCCTAAACCCCAAACTCGTAACCCTAAACCACTGACCTTTGAGGCGCCTCAGAACTCATAACCCTAAACCACACATGTTGTTGTAACCCTAAACCTGCAACCCTCACCTTGAAGACTTGCACGTTGATCTGCCTGAGAGCGAGAGTCATGTCAAAGAGCACACGCGGCCTGCCCCGCCCACAGCACTCCACCGGCGTTGCCACCAGCAGCTCCGCCTCCGCTGCCTCATCCGCCGACGCTGATGCCGCCGCTGCTGCTGCTGAGCCTGCTCTTAACGAGGATACAGACGAAGGGGATAAGAACAACCCTGCGCCAGCCCCTGCCGCCACTGCTGCCCCTGCTGCGCCTGCGGCTGCTGACCCTGCTCTGCCGGCTCTCCCTCCTCCTCCAGCTGCTACTCCCGCCGGCACTACAGCTGGTGAGACGCTCCTTCCCATCCCCACCATCCCCGCAAACCCCATCCCCAGCCCCATCCCCATCCCCATCCCCACTCCCATCCTCCCACCAGCACCACCACCGCCACCGCCGCTCCCTCGCTCCTTCACCTCGCCTCCTTCCACCGATCCCACCACGCTCCCCTTCCCTCCTCGTGTCACCACCACGATGCGCAGCGGTCGCTCGAGCTCTGATGTTAGCCGCGCGCAGATGCGCGCCTGCTGCGCTGCCCCCTCCACCTTCCTGCCGCTGCTGTCCACTACAAACATGTCCAACTGGCACACGCCATCCTCGGTCGTGGCTATGCGCCCATACGACACCTGCAATGTGGGGAGGGCAAGGGCCGTGGGGAAGGGGAGGGGTAGTTGAGAAGAGAAAGAGGGGGAGGACGGGTGCAGGGGACAGGGAGGGAGAAGCGGATGAGCAGGGAAGGAAGAAGCGAGAGGAGGAGTACAGAAAGGAAAAGAAGGTTTGGTGCCAGGGGATATGCAGGCAGCTATTGTTTCCCAGTTCCATGCCTGTGCAGTATCCCTTATTCCTACCCGCCACGTGTGAAAGGTAGCTTTTTGAGTCGTGTCACACACAAGTCACCTTCTGAGACGTCTCAGAAGTGGACTGCAGAGACGTCTTACAGAAAGATTTACCCACCTGCATGTTGAGGTCTCGAAGTGTGCGCAGGCAATCATACACGAGGCCCTTGCGGTCCTTCAGCTGGATCTGCAGCGCACACGGGAGGGAGAGAGTGGGAGGGAGAGAGTGGGAGGGAGAGAGTGGGAGGGAGAGAGTTTTGAGACGTCCCAAAACTAGACTGCGCAGGCAGTCATACACGAGGCCCTTGCGATCCTTCAGCTGGATCTGCAGCGCACACGGGAGGGAGAGGGTGGCGGTGAGAGAGGGAGCGCCGGAACGAGTGGTGCAGTGAGTGAGAGAGGGATTGGCGCTAGGGAGTGGGAGCGGGAGAGGGAGAGGGAGTGGGAGAGGGAGAGGGAGAGGGAGAGGGAGAGCGAATGAGAGAGTGGGAGAAGGAGAGGGAGAAGGCTTTGGGTGTCGAATTTGAGAACAATATTGACGTCAGCAAATGTGTTGCATCCCCACCCAGCCCATCCCATCCCCTCCCCTCCCCTCCCCTCCCCCCTCCCATCACCACCACCAACCAGGCCTACCTGCAGCATGGAATGAGCGGGCGACATGCCATTGTCCACAGTGACCCGCGCAACAGACGGAGGCGGCTGGGAAGGACCCAGCCCCTCAGAGAACACAGGCGAGAAGGCCAGGTCCGATGAGTCTATCTCCACCCCTGTGCCTGTTCCTGCTGCTGATGCTGGTGCCAGCCCTGATGTTCCTGATGCTGTTGTTGATGACGATGCTGGGGATGGTGCGTTTGTTTGAAAGCTCCCCGTGCCTGCTGCCATTGGTCCTCCTGCCGCTGCTGCTCCCGAGAAACGCGACGGCTGAGCTGCTGCTGCTGATGCTGATGCTGATACTGAGGCCATTTCAAAGGACAGCTGTGATCTCCCTCTCCCACCAGCCGTACCCACGCCCATGCCCCTGCTCGCGCCTACACTCCCCCCCGCCAACCCAGACGCAGCAGCCCTGGCAGCACCACCAGCACCAGCACCAGCACCAGCACAAGTGGCAGAACCAGCAACACCACCAGCAGCACCACCAGCGGAACCAGCACCAGCAGCACTGGCAACACCACCAGCACCAGCAGCATCACTCATCCCTCTGGCACCACCAGCAGAAGCACCAACACCAATGGAGACAGAGGTCCCAGGGGGGCTGTTAGGCGGCGTGCTGAACTCAGCGAGCAGAAACTTCTCTACAGCGTACGGCACACACTCTGACACGCCCAGGCTCAGATCCGCTATGTCTGCTGCATCAGGGCCTGTGGTGGGCGATATGGAGCAAACCACTGCCTCACTCTCACCCTCCCTGCTACCATCCCTGCCACTAACCAGACCACCAGCAGCAGCACCGCCACCACGAGAACCCATACCCAGGGCACCAGTACCACCAGCACCAGCGCCCCCACTGCTGCCACCACTCCTCCCACCCTTCCCTCCCACGCCTCCCGCTGCTGCTCCTGCCAGTCTATCCCCGCCACCATACCCTGTTGCACCTCCTCCTCCTCCTGCCCCTGCTCCTGCACCTGTGGCGCCAGAGGCAGCGGAGGAGCCGAGCAGGCCCTTAGCGCCGCCCCTGCTGTGGCCTGAGAGGGAGAGCGCGTCCCTCACTCGGTCTATGATCTGGTCTGACCGGTGCTTTGCGGGCAGCTCCTTGCTGCCCGGGGGGAAACAATTGCGAAAAAAGGGTGAAGCAGGGGGCGGAAGGCAGGGGGGTCAAAAACGAGGATGAAGACAAGGCACGCACCCATCCATTCACCCAGCTTCCCTGCCACTCACCCAAGCACTCAGTCAGCCAGTCAACCACCCACCCACCAACCCACCCACCACCCTCCCACCCATGCACCCATCCACCCATCCACCCAGGCACGGGCTCCAGGCGCGCTAACCGGTTGTCATTGATGATGAAGAAGTCGATGGCCTGGCCGTCAGGGTTGGCATGCACCCATGCGCTCACCTACCCACCCACCCACCCACCCACCCACCCACCCACCCACCCACCCACCCACCCACCCACCCACCCACCCACCCACCCACCCACCCACCCACCCACCCACCCACCCACCCACCCACCCACCCACCCACCCACCCACCCACCCACCCACCCACCCATCCACCCACCCACCCACCCACCCACTGAGGCACCCCAGGCACCCGAACACCCAGCCACCTGCTCCACGGACGCTCACCGGTTATCGGTGATGAAGAAGAAGTCGATGGCCTGGCCGTCAGGGCTGGTGGAGACATTCACTCGGTGGATGGTCAGCTCCAGCTCCCACAGCAGCTGCGTCATGTCTGTGCGCACTCACCATGCATGCATGCGTGCACCATCAATGCACCATTCATAAAACATGCATGGACACGTGGGGGAGAGCGATGGAGGGAGGAGAGAGGGGGGGACAGGGGCGTGGGGGAGGGAGGAGAGAGGTAGGGTGGGAAGATGGGATGATGAGGGGAGTTTGGTGATGTAGCAGGGGAAAGAGTGGGTGGGGGGAAAGGGGGGAAGAAGGGGTGGGGAGTGGTTGGTGCGGGGCAGAAGGAATTGAAAGAACGGGAGGTGTAGGGAAGGGGGCATTGAAAAGGTTTGCAGCAGCAGCAGTGCAGGGGAGGCAAGTAAAGTGAGTGCTTTCCATCATTCAACAGGAAGCACGGCGAGACAGCAGGGCGAGAGCAGTGCAGTACTGACCATTCAGTAGTCCGCATCTGTCTGACGCCTGCACCTGCAGCAGGAACACCCGCACCGCCGCCTTATTCACCCCCCCGCCCCCCCCACCAGCTAACGGCGATGCAAGACCCGAGGACGACGAAGACGAGGAGGAGGAGAAGGGGTTGCGGTAAGCAGTAGACGAGGTGATCCCATAGGAAGGAAGCCCGTAGGAGTGGCCAGAGGAGGAGGAGGATGATGATGACGAGGAGGAGGAGGAGGAGTGCGAGGGGCGGGAGAAGAATACGGGTTCGGAGGAGGGGCAGGCGGCGAGGAGGCGGTGCTTGAGCAGAGACCACTTGATGGGCTTGCCTGTGCGCGTGCGCGGTACCACCCAGAAAACGAGGAAGCACCACCGGCCGTCCGTTGACAGATCTACATGCATGGTGGGTGGGTGGGTGGGTGGGTGGGTGGGTGGGTGGGTGGGGAAGGGAATCCGGGAAGGAAGGAGGAGAGTGTGTAAAAGGGAGAGGAGAGAAAAGAAAGAAGGTAGGCGTGCGGAGGGGAGAAGAGGGAGGGAAGAAGGGAGGGAAGGGTAAAGGACTGCGAAGAGTGGGAGTGATGAGTGAAATAGGGTATAAAAGCGAATAGACCCGGGTTAATCTCGATGTGGCGGCGTCTGATAATTAATCTCATGGCCTCTGATCGCCTAGAGACGCGCCTTCCGTGCGTTACACACCCCCACTCCCCGTCCCCCCACAACACCACCCACCCCCCTCCCATCCCCACGGATTCGCCGCACCGTCCCACACCTCTCTCCACCTCTCTCAAAACCCCACGCACCACGCAGCATCGCTCTGTCACCGCGCGGAACCACTCACCACCCTTGACGACGTTGAGCCCGAACTCGAACATGATGCGCGTGAGGTCGCAGCCCAGCCCCACCTTGTCCGGGCAATTCACCGTTATCTCCGACGCCTCCCGCGGCCCCTGCCCCTTGCGCACCACGACTGTCTCGTCTGATGGTATCGCCACTGGGGTAGGGGAAGAGGGGGGGGAGTGGGGGAAAGGGCGGAAGGGAGGGAAGTGGGGGAAGGGGGGATGGGGGGAAAGGGGAGGGAAAGGGGGGAAGGGAGGAAAGGGGAGGGAAGTTTGGGAACAGTAGAAGGGGGGTAAAAGGGGAGAGCGAGAGGAGGGGGGGGAGGGGGAAGGAGGAGAGCGGGGGTAAGGGGACAAAGCAGGGGGAGGGAGGGGGGCACTGGCGGAGAAAGGAGGAGAGGCGACGATAGTTTTGAGGAATGAAGCTGCAAGAGAGGATGATAAGATGCATGCAGGGCAAGAGGAAAGCGGAGGTGGTGCGGACGGGAAAGAGAATACGACCACGAGATTCTTGAGCAGAAGCACCAGCAGCAGGCTGCTGGCACTTGTTAAGGGACGCGTAACGAAATGGGTCGGTCGACGTTAGAGTTTTTTTCGTTCGCGAGCAGCTGCTGTTTCATCGAAGTGGGTGAGATACGGTAAATGCGGTGAGATGCAATGAGATGTGGCAGGGGTATCAAGTGCGAGCGACGGGCGCCACTCACTGCTCGGCGGCGAGGCGAATGGGCGAAGCAAGTCACTGCGAAGTCGAGTCCACAAACAGACCACGTCCGCGACGACCACACAATCGGGACGTCGAGACGAACGGGGAAACACGCGTTGACGGAGAAGCGAAGCTGGCGAGAAGGTGATCCGGCACCTCGAAGGAATCTAACTTCAGTTTCAAATGCAGATCTGAGAGATTCAGATGCAAGTTCAGGTTCCAGCGGTTCAGTTCAGATGTAGATGGTGGATTTCGAGAGGCGGAACGAGAGCTACGTAACGCGCGTCAGTCCGAAAGAGAGAAAGGATACTGACGAGAGAGCTGAAGTGAGGATGTACTGGCCCGCAGAAAGCGGCGAGTAGAATCAGTGGAAAGAGATTCCTGAATGGACAAAAATGGAGCAGACAACAGACACTATCGGCGACGAGGAACGTAAACGGCTTATCGAAGACTGGTCGCCATGACTCTGCTTCACAGGATGGAACGACAATGTACGTGGTTGGTGGGTCAGCTGAGCATGTGACTGTCTGTTAGAGGTGAATCGGGACAACGTTTTATAGCATGGTGGCAGATGGAGAGTCGATTCTAGGAGCAGAGAAAGAGTGAGTGGAGGAGGAGGAGGAGGCGGACGAGGCGGCGAGCAAGAGAGCGTAGTTAGAGCCAGCAGCGGAATGGAAGGCTTCTCCTGGGTCCCTCAACTGCATGCTGCTGCTGTTACACCGTGAGGCGGCGACGGAGGGGATGAAAGTGGCGGAGAGCGAGCCACGAGGGAACGCGTGTTGACTGCTCGACCTTCCGTGAGAACCCACGAGCGACGACGACGATGACGACGGCGACGACGACGACGACGACGACGACGACGACGGCGGCGGCGGCGGTGAAGACGACGACGACGACGACGGCGACGGCGACGACGCACAGCGGCAATCCAGCGCGGCACCCCCGCGCTCGTTCCACATATCACAAGCCGCTTCTATGAAGAGCTCTTCCCCGAAAAGTAAGAGGACTGTCAACACTACAAGGAATGGCAGAAGCTCGGTGGTACGGTATCTGGGCTCAGGAGCTAAGAGATTAGGGAATCAGAGAAGCACAGTGCAGCATATCTTGAGTCTGCAAAAGTCTCTTGCTTCACGGTGCTGGACGCAGATGACACGAACCGGATAGGTGCCACAGCCAGTGCGGCAAGAAGGGAATCAAAAGCTGGTACAGTATGCGAAAGTGGCTGTTGGCTGACAGGCCCGTTGGTGTGTGTGTACTGTATGGGAATCTCGATATACCAAACCGGACCGGAGTCTTCTCTTATCAGCCACGAGAGCAAAAGGCATCCCCTGGTTTGTCGGTGCCTTTTTCTATGGCCGTCAACTTGACGCTCTACCGTTTGAGACAGCGCTTGAGGTGTTCCATCCCAACCCAGCTCTGACGGTCGTCACGGGTTTACCTCAAGCTTCCCATCCCACCAATTCCGACACGCAGGCGAAAGGCGAGCATCGGGATTCACGGGGTTCTGTGCTGGCACCCTGACAGGTTCAAGCCTGCAGGGCAGGTTCGCCATAGGTTTAAAACAATGCGTTGCGTTGTAGGTTGTAGAAAGCAAATAACAGAAACATCTAGTTATTTTGATAAGGACCTGTGGTAAAAAACTGCTTTCGTACTTCTCATCCATCTAACCTCGACTTCTTTGCTGTAATGCTTGTTTTCCACGGGAGGTAACCCTTTTGCTCCGTGTGGCACAAGATTCTCCGACGGCGGCCGCTCGCAACTCCCAAGCTGACGTCGTCAGAGAGGGAATGGCATCTCGTCTGGATCTTCGGTACAAGTCCACCGCGATCAGACCATAAACCCAAGATTGTTTCTATCGATAAATACCCAGAACTAAGAGCTTGGCAGAAACGAGAAACGGATTCTTCGAAACGGAGTCCACGTTGGTACCCTGCGAAAATGCCACTCGAATTCCACATCTCAATCTCTCATAACTACACCTATTCGGGATTCAACACATCAGTCTTTAGTCCTCCCATCTGATTCTGGAAACAATCGGCGTAGCAACGAAAGTCAACGAGCCAGACTCTGTACAGTCTCTCCCCTAGTGTTGCATGCTCGGAGCTGAAGAGATCATGACAGGGCGGAAAGAGCGAGGCGGCGTGCAGCCGGCTGTGGTGGTTGCGGTAGGCATCGGTATGGTGTGGTGGGCGTGGAATATTCTCACCGGCGCTTCCTCGTCGTCGGGACGGCGAGGGGAAGACGATGACTCCGCGCGTGTGCCTCCCGTTGATGGCGGAAACGAAGATGCTGCCGGTGCTACCGGCGCAAGTGCTGGCGGAGCGGATACGGGGGAAGGCGGGAGTGGTGTGACGGAGCAGGGGAGTTAAGCGGACGAGAAGCGGGGAGTTCGGGAGGAGATTGCTAGGGAGTGTGAGGGGGGAAGTGCGTGGAGTGGAGGGGATGGAAGGAGGGGCTGAGAGAGAACGTTGTGGGTACTAGGAGGTACTAGGATGTACTAGGATGGTACTGGGAAGTTGGGAGCGTTGTATGTACCATACCGATACATTGGGACAAGGCAGAGCTGCGATGTGGTGGAGAGGAGCGATGGTTAATTGAGGTAGTAGGGGAAGGGAAGATGATCTTTGACGATGGTGTGTGTGCGATCGATCGCCATAAGATGAGCTGAGAAGGGTTACTTACGAACTACCACTGGGTAGCGTCCGAGAGTGTTTGAGGCATCATGTCATGTGTATATACAGGCACCTACCAGTGCATCAGGCAGATGAAGCCAGAGATTCATGGAGATTCATAAAATATGCATACCGGTACCGTACTACATTCTCAATCCAGTTTGTTGAACCTGTGAATCGGAAAAACATTCTTGCGGGTTCTCCGCTTACCATGGTAAGCGGGTATGATTGCAATGCGATGATACAGCAAGCAACATCAGAAGCTAGAGATCTTGTAGCATGAACTGTAGAACTATATAAACCAAAATGGTATCATCTGGTATCATCTCATCTCCTTACTAACCACTTCCATTTGTCTCAACCGCACTGCCACATCAGCATCTGCGGCAGACTTCCTACAGCTAAACCCACCCCACCGTTGTGTACCCACCCCCTCGCCCTCTCTACCCTTATGTGTGCCATTTATCTTCTGGTGATTGCTGATCGCACTTGGGGTATTCACCCTCCCCGTGGCCGAATCTATTCTCCCATGCACAATCCCCCTGCTACCCCTCCGGCCACCGCCGCTGCTCATTTTCTCCTTCCCCACACTCTCCGCTGCTCTCCCACACACTATACAGTGTAAATCCGCCTCCCCCTCCTCGTCTTGCTCCCCCATCCCCCCCCACCCTGTGCCATCCTCCTCAACATCTCCCCCACACCCTCGACTACTACCATGTATAGCCCCTCTCTCATACACTGTCTTATGTGTACCACTTCCTTTACCCCTCCCCCCTCTCACCTCCCCCACTTCTCTGTCCACACCTCCGGCAGGAGTGAAGGTAGCTGCGGAGGGGTATGGGGAGGAGGAGGAGTGAAGCGGTGCGAGAGGGGCGGGTGGATGGGCAGCAGCAGAGAGGGAGAGGCAGGAGAGATGGAAGCCATGATGGCAGAAGAACACAACAAAAGGACCCTCCAGCGATGCTGCATTCTCCAGGCAAACACAGCACCGTCCACTCCCTCCCAACACCTCCATCCCCTCCCCACCCCCTTGCCCTCCTCCCCTCCTCCCGCCTCTCCACTCTCCAACCCCCCCACGCCCTCCCCCCCTACCTGCTCCCCCCCGTCTCAACCCCTCGCCTCCCCCTCCCCCCTCCTCCACCCCATCCCCGTCCAGCCAATCATTCGAGGCGGCGAACACCCCGGCTGCTCCTGTGGAATCCACTATAGCTCGGATGGAGTCTAGTGAGACGTCAGGTGCAAGGGCTTGCACAGGAGCAGAGTCCAGAACTGCATCGATTGCTGTGACGGCTCCTTTGATTGCTCGGTGCGTGTGTGCTGCTAGCGTGGGAAGAGACTCGAAGAACGGTGAGGTTGATGCGAGGTCAAGAGGAGAGGGCAGAGGGGGAAGTGGTGTTGTGGTGGTGGTGATGGTGGTTGTGTTGGTAGGGGTGTTGGTGGTGGTGCCGGTTGCTGCTGCTGCGGCTGCTGCTGCTGCGGTGGTGGCCGCATCAAAGGCAGCAGCAGATACAGAGGAGAGAAGAGCGAGGGGAAGTGACACCTGCTGCTGCTGGTACTGGTGATGATGGTGATGATGGTGGTGATGGTGGTGCGGAGAGAGGGGAGGTGAGAGTGTGGTGTGTGTGACAAAGCAGTGGATGGAAGAACCCACTCGGATGCCCTTGATTGATTCTTTCAATTGCTTGGTAAAGAGAACTGTTAAGTCCGCCTGTTGGGGAACAGGGGGGTGTGGGGCGGAAAAGAAGGGAGTTAGCATGGAATTGTGTGTTTGTGTGTGTAGAGGGGGGAGGGTGTGGTATAGAGTTTGGGTCAGAAACACAAAAGGAAGAACAGGGAGTGGAGAAAGGAAAGAGAGAGCACAGGAGTGTGCATGTGTGTGTGTGTGTGTGTGTGTGTGTGTGTGTGTGTGTGTGTGTGTGTGTGTGCGCGCGCATGTGTGTGTGCCTGTGTGTGCCTGTGTGTGCGAGAAAGAACACTAAGGTAGGAGGAGCAGAGGGGCAGCAGACCAGGAGGAGTCGGTAGCAGCCTTGGGAGAGGGCGAGCTGGGTGGAATGAGAGAGCACAGGAGTGTGTGTGTGTGTGTGTGTGTGTGTGTGTGGAAACAAGAAGTAGGAGTAGAGAGGGAGCGGACCAGGAGGAGTCGGTAGCAGCCTTGGGAGAGGGCGAGCTGGGTGGTGGTGGCGGATAGCACACCCACTAGACGCTCCTTTAGCCTGCACCACACCATTCACACGGACCAAGGGAGAGTGACAGGGGTATAGGAGCAGTGTGAGAGGGGTACGGGAGGGTGTGAGAGGCGCGCGGGAGGGGTGTGAGAAGGGTGCGGGAGGGTGTGAGCGGGATGTAAGCGGGGCGTGAGGGGCAGAAAACGAGAAACGAAGACGATGAGTGGGTGCGCTACTCATGTTGCTTTGACTGGAACGAGTGAAAGGACATGTGGGGCCATGAAGGGAGCACGCACAAGGAGAGCAATGCAACCAAAACATGAATGCTTCAAGACGTCCTCAGACAGTGTTGAGAATCTCAAAACTGACTCCCAACCCAACCCAAACATGAACCTAACGCTTCAAGACGTCCTCAGACAGAGCAGGCCTTTGTGACGCCCCAAAAGAGGAGGAGGTACGAATGAGAGCAAGTGGCGCGAGGGAGTAGTACCGTGGGATGTGGTGGGCAGGCATGGCCAGCTGCACGAGGCGCAGGGCGTCCAGACCCGGTAGGGCCCGGTCAAAGAGCGCTGCTAGCTGCATGTTGCGTTGCACCAAGGGGGGAGGGGGGTGAAAAGGTGTTGAGGGGTTGGGTATGGGTTTTGACACGGCTCCGAAAGAGGCGCAGGGCGTCCAGACCCGGTAGGGCCCGGTCAAAGAGCGCTGCTAGCCGCACGTTGCATGAAGAAGGAAAGAGGAAACGGGGGGGATGGCGGGTGGGGGGGGGGACGGCATAAATTTTGAAGCACCTTTATGAGGATGGAGGAATGGTAGGATTACATTCCTGGTAGGATTGAAAGGAAGAAGCAGTGAGTGAAGCTATGGGGTTGGAGTGACCGGGGGAGTGGCGGGTGGCAGCAGAATCATGGGATTTGGGTGGCGAGAGAATGTTGAGGCGCCTTAGGTGGGATTGGGGTGAGGGGAGAGAGGCAGAGGGACAGGCCAGGAAGAAGAACAGCATTGTGGGTGGGTTGATTGGGAGAGGGAGAGGGGGGGGGGGGGGGAGAGGGAGAGGGAGAGGGGGGGGGGGGGGGGGGGGAGGGAGAGGGAGAAGGAGAGGGAGAGGGAGAGGGAGAGGGAGAGGGAGAGGGAGAGGGAGAGGGAGAGGGAGAGGGAGAGGGAGAGGGAGAGGGAGAGGGAGAGGGGCAGGGAGAGGGAGAGGGAGAGGGAGAGGGAGAGGGGCAGGGAGAGGGCAGGGAGAGGGGCAGGGAGAGGGAGAGGGAGAGGGAGAGGGAGAGGGAGAGGGAGAGGGAGAGGGAGAGGGAGAGGAGAGGGAGAGGGAGAGGGAGAGGGAGAGGGAGAGGGAGAGGGAGAGGGAGAGGGAGAGGGAGAGGGAGAGGGAGAGGGAGAGGGAGAGGGAGAGGGAGAGGGAGAGCGAGAGGGAGAGGGAGAGGGAGAGGGAGAGGGAGAGGGAGAGCGAGAGGGAGAGGGAGAGGGAGAGGGAGAGGGAGAGGGAGAGGGAGAGGGAGAGGGAGAGGGAGAGGGAGAGCGAGAGGGAGAGGGAGAGGGAGAGGGAGAGCGAGAGGGAGAGGGAGAGGGAGAGGGAGAGGGAGAGGGAGAGGGAGAGGGAGAGGGAGAGGGAGAGGGAGAGGGGCAGGGAGTCGTACAAGGGTGGAGTTGGAGGCAGCTCGCTCCAGCAGAGCATCCCACAGCGACTCATCACCGCTCTCCCCCACCACGTCCAGAGCCTGAGGTAGCGTGGAGAGGTGGGGAGGAGGAGCGAGAGGGAATCTATGAATTCTCTATAAAATTGTTGTAATTCTAGAAAATCTCCAGCAGAGCATCCCACAGCGACTCATCACCACTCTCCCCCACCACGTCCAGAGCCTGAGGTGGCGTGAACAGGAAAGGAAGGGGTGGGGAGGGGATGCTGGGGGATTGGCAGACCGGCGGTTCTGGATTTTGGATTTTTTTTTAATCTGTAGTTTTTTTCTTCTTCTTCTCATTTACAACTTCAACCGTTTCCCAGTGGACATAACACACAGCAACTCATAACAAGAACCTTTTAAATGTGGTGCATGGGATGCAGCAACTGGCCATGAGCAGCGCACCTGGTCAACGTTTTCCATGCGGTCAATGCAGAGAGCCATGGCTGCTGCATGGTTGCCCATGCGCTGCAGCAGATACACCATCGCCCCCACCTCGCCCCTCCTCTCACACACCCTGTACGCCTGGGAGGGATTATTGTGATACGAGTGTGTAGTGGGGACGGATCGGAAGGCACGTAGGAAGGACAGGACAGGCGGATGGTGTGGGGGAAGGGCGTGCGGGGACGAATAATGTGGGGCGCGAGAAGGGGAGAGAAGGAAGTGCCTTGCAGTGCCGCCCTTGAGTTTTTGGCCTGAAGCATTGCAGCAAAGCAAGCAGAGATGCTAGTGGAGGGACGAGTGTAGAGAGAGTGGAGAGACGAGTGGGAGCAGTTGGTAGTGCTGTGAAAGGGAAGAGTATGCTTGCACCATGCTCAAGTTTGTGGTGGTGTGAGATGAATACCATGTCAAGCGAGTAGTTGGTGGTGCTGTGCAGGAAGGGCAGGAGATTGCGAGGGTCGAGCATTGTGTATAGGAGCAGCTGATGGGACGGGGGGGGGAAGGAAGGAGAGGTGGGTTGAGGTGTGAGGGAGGTGTACTGTGGCAAGAGAGAGAGCAGATGAGGGGAGCACACGTAGCAGAGCGTGTCACATAGGCTGGAGATTTCAGGTTTGGAGCATCGCGTAGAGGAGCAGCTGAAGGGAGAGCTCTGCGATGTATATCAGAACTCGCTTAGGGACTCGTTGACTCGCCCCGCTCACATCTCCCATCTCACACCTCACGTCTCCCATCTCACATCTCCCATCTCACATCTCCCATCTCACATCTCACATCTCACATCTCCCATCTCCCATCTCACATCTCCCATCTCCCATCTCACATCCCACATCCCACATGTCATCACCACGCGTGCGTACACGGTGCACAGCACATCACAGCACAGCAACTCACCTGAATGGGATGCCATGGCTGTGTGAGTGTGGCATCACACACAAAGAGCTCATGCAGGTACACGTGTAACCACACCCCCACCGCTCTGCATTCCATTGCTTCTCCCTGCTCCGCCCCTATCATCCCCCTCACCATCTCCCTCTCCTCCCCCTCCAACCACCAGCTCCTCTTTCTCCTCTTCGTCCTGTTCCCGCCTTCCCCTCTCCTCGCCTTCTCCTGCCCTCCTCTCTCTTCTCCCAATGCTAGTGTTCCCTCTCGCCCCTCTCCCCCTCTCCATCCCCATCTCACTGCCTCCTCCTCCTCCTCCCCATGTCCGCCCCCCCCGTTCTCACTCCTCTCATCATCCATCTCACACTCACACCACAACGTTTCCCCTACTCCACCCACTCCTCCCCTATCCCCTTCATTCTTAGCCCAGACAGGCTGGTTATTCCCCCCGCCTGCTCCCTCCCCCCTCACTACAGCACTTAAATCCCACCCATGACCACCAGTCCCTGTTCTCTCCTCCATTCCTTTCTCCTCCTGCAAACCCACATCCTTCCCCCCTTCCTCTTTCCTCTCTTTCTCTTCCCCCAATTTCCGATCCTCCTCCCCTTCTCCTAATCTCCTCTCCTCCCCCCGTCCCTCCAATCTCCCGTCCTCCTCTTCCCCCAACCTTTCCTCCTCCGCTTCCTCCCGTCTCCGTCGCAGTGTGTCGTGTGCGTGTGTGCGCAGCAGCGAGAGGTGGGGAAAAATGGAGGAGGGAGGGAGCAGCGAGGGGTGGTGGGCGAGAAAGAGGAGGATGCGGGAGGGGTCAAGCTGCAGAAGCAGGGGTAGCTGCAAAGGGGGAAACGAGGGGGGTGGATTGGAAAGGAGTTGGATTGTTGGAACATAGGTTGTGGGGCGGGTGGGTTGGTTGGGCGGTATGTGGTGGGCGAGAACGAGGAGGGTTTGGTTTGGGATGGGACAAGCTGCAGAAGCAGGGGCAGTTGCAAGGGGGGGATGAGGGCGGTGGGTTGAGGTGGAGGCGGGGAGTATAAAACGTGGGTTGGTTGGGTTGAGTTGTCGGTATGTTCTAAAGAGGGCAACAAGAGTTGTATGAGACGCTTGGGGGAGCATAGGGGGTCACAAAAGCTAGGGGATGTGGGCAGAACGAGAGTAAACAGAGGGGGTAGATGGAGAGCAGAAACTTGGATTGGAAGGAGCATACAGGGAGTTTGAAGGTCGGAGAGAGGGAGAGGAAGGGGAGAGGGGGAGGAAGGGGAGAGGGGGAGGAAGGGCAGGCACCTGGGAGGCGATGAGAGGAGAGAAGGGTTGGCAAGAGATGAGATGCAGGACTGTGTTGGTGCGATCGGTGTTGGTACGGTCTGATAGCGCTGCCTGCACACGGGTGGGGAAGATGGGGGGAGATGGGGGGAGATGGGGGGAGATAGAGGAAGATGGCGGAAGAAGAGGGGGGAAAAAAAGGGAGGGGCGGGTAGAAGAGGGAGACAGGCGAAGTGAAGGCTTTAGAAGTATTTTTGCTGCTGAATGAGCCTTGAAGTCGATTCTTGAGGTTCTGGAACGATAGGAGGTGAGCTGTAACGCGGACTGGTGGAGTGCAAAAGAAACACTACTGCCTATGCAAGCAAGAATGCAGGTTACAGGAAACATGTTAACCGGACCAGCATGCCATGGTGCACTGCACTGCAGTGCAGTGGAGTGGAGTGGAGTGAAGAGGAGTGCAGAGGAGTGAAGAGGAGTGCAGTGGAGCAGTGGGCGTACCAGGATGTAGTAGTGCAGAGCGTCAGGGAACTGTTGGGAGCGCATGCACAGCTCTGCCACTGCCTAGTATGGGGTATGGGAATGCCGGGCGAGAGAGAGAGAGAGAGGGGAGCAGGAGGGAGATCTTTTGAGTCGACTCTAGAGTCAGCCATTGGGAGCGCATGCACAGCTCTGCCACTGCCAAGTATGGGGTATGGGAATGCCGGGCGAGAGAGAGAGAGAGAGGGGAGCAGGAGGGAGATCTTTTGAGTCGACTCTAGAGTCAGCCATTGGGAGCGCATGCACAGCTCTGCAACTCCGTAGAGAGGAAAGCCTTCTTCAACGCGCTCACCAACACCCCGCTAGCTCCACTCATCCCATTCACACGCTCATTCTACGCAACGCCCTCACCGCTGCTGATCGATCCCCGCTTAAGCCCAACGGCACTCACCAGCGGAAGGGGAGTCAGGCAGGGGGATCCCCTCGGACCCCTTCTATTCGCGGCGTCAATCCAGCAACACCTCAGGCGGGTAGCAGCTGAACACCCGGAAGTCACGGTCCTAGCTTACGCAGACGATATCACCATGATAGGACCGGCGACGGCGACGCTCGGCGCGCTGGGAGTGCTGACGCCGCTACTAGCACAGGATGGTCTCACCTGCAACTTCAGGAAGTCGTCGGCATGGTCTTCCACGCCGCTTGGCGGCGACGCGCTTCCCGAGGGCCTTCCCCTCACCCACGAGGGGGTTCGGGTGTTGGGAAGCCCTGTGGGGTCGCAAAGCTTCTGCTCTGACTTTGTCCGCAGCACCCTGACAGACGCGGCGGCACCCTTGGGCTCTCTCGCGACCATCCACCCACAACACACCCTCCTGCTATTATCCCGTTGCATCAGCCGCAGAATCGGCTACCTGCTGCGCACCACCCCAGCAGACGTCTTACCCCTCTCGGAATGGCATGCATGGTGCTCTGAACTGCTGAAAACCGCCTTGACCGCCGCCAGCATTCAACCGCCACGCCGAGAAGCCGAGTTCAACTTCCTCCTTCGACAGGCAACTCTCCCAGTAGCCCTAGGCGGACTGGGCCTTACGGACCCCACAACTGAAGCGGCACCGGCCTACCTGGCATCTACAACAGAGGCGCTACGCCTGCTCCGCTCCCTGGACCTGCCTGCAACCGCGCCACTAGGGGCCAACAATAACGCCCTGCAGCCGTCTGCAGCGCACTCCGTGACCATCCAGGACATGGAGGGGCGACTGCCACCGCTGGCGCTACAAAACCTACGGGAGGAGCAGCAAACCCCGTCCCAAGACCAGCTGCAGCGCGCCCTCTCCCAGGAAGTGCACGCGGCAAAGGCCGACGCCCTAAGAGAGGAGTCACGCACAATACAGTCAGCCCCCGAGATGGGTCACACACTCCGCCTAGTCAGCCTGAGAGGAGAGGGAGCGGGAGCGTGGCTGCAGGCACTACCCTTGACCCCGGACCTCTGCTTCTCACCGGGTCAGTTCCGAGCGGCCCTGGCCTTCCGCATGGGCATCCGACAGAATGTACCAACCGTGTGCGAGTGCGGAGAACTCGTTGCCGACTGCAGCCTACCCAACCACTTACTCCGCTGCAGCACAGACCCCGACAGGACGCGCACACACAACCAGCTGGCCTTCGCCATGGCTAAAATGGCGAGGGAGGCGCAGCTGGTGGTATACCTGGAGAATGCGATGTACTCACCTCCGGATGACCCGAAGAAGGCAGATGTGATTGTACAAGACCCGGACAGCGGAGAGACCTGGATCACAGACACCACTATCACTGACCCTGTGCTGCAGAACCGAGACCCCACGGCCCGCAAACCCCCAGGCTGGGCGGCAAGGGAGGCACAGAAGCGGAAGGAGAGGGACTACTACCGACACACTGAACACGTGGTGTTCTGCGCTCTGGCCGTCGAGACCTATGGGGCAAACGCGCCCCCCACGACGGCGTTCCTGAAGCTGCTGGCCACAGCAGCAGCTAGGAACCGCTTCAGGGCCAGCCCCTTGGCGAAATCCGCCAAGAAGATGGCCTGCCACTTCAGCCAGCGCTGGTCAGTGGCCCTCCAGCGCTCCCAGGCGAACGCCCTGCACACCAAGGCCAGGGCTGGGATTGAGGCAGCACACCCCCAGATGGCAGCGGACCCCTGGCCGCTGCACCTCGGGGACATCCTCCACACGCTGGAGGGCTAGAGGGTCACTCGGGGGGGGGGGGGGAAGAGGGGTGAGTTGATGGGCTTATGGGATTGAGGCTATCATGGATAGAACTGCATGTCTGTACCCCTGCTGATTTAATACAACGGACCATTTGAGAGAGAGAGAGAGAGAGGGGAAATAAGAAGACTTTTGAGTGAGTCGACTCAACACTCACTTAGTGAGACCTAGTACCCCGTGCTTATACCGACATGCCCCTCTTATGCCCTCTTACCCCTTCCCACCACCTCCCATTCCCTCCAATCCTTTCCCATCCACCGCCCCTTTTTCCCCGCACCTCCAGCAGTGGTGTTGATGCTTGCCCCTCCCACTCCTTTGCTCCTCGGGTGAGCGTCTGGTGTCTCTGAACGGCCTTCCCCAGCACGTCGCGCATGCTGTAGAGGCGATGCGGCCACGTGCGGATGGAGGAGAGGAACAGAGGGTGGTCTGATGGGGAGAGCAGCAGGGACGAGAGCACCATCTGCACACGTGGGGAGGGGGAGTGGATGGAGGGGGGCCGGGGTGTTGGAGAGAATCGTGTTTTGAGTGAGGGGGCCACTCAAAACACGACTCATTACACGGGGAGGGGGATTGAAAGGGGCCCAGCGTGTTGGAGAGAGAGAGGGGGAATGAAAGGGATGAAGGGACGAGAAGAGTGGCAATAATGCGATGAAGGCAACACGCGGGTAGAGGGAGCAGCGAGAGGAGCGAGGGATGAGGGAGAGAGGCAGGTACCTCGTAGACTGCTGGTCCCAGCTGGGGCGAGTCAAAGGGTATGTGCGGCACGAGGGCTGGTAGGCAGCGCATCTGAGCGAATGTGAACACCCACCTGCATGCATGCAGGGCAAGCAGGGTAGGCAGGTGGGCAGGGAAGAGAGGGCAGGCAGGACACACAGGGAAGGGGGGCATGCACGCATGCATGCATGCAGGCAGGCAGGCGGTCAGGAGGGCGGGCGGGCAGGCACGAAAAGAGGGGAAGGGAAGGGGAAACAGAGGCAGTGGAGAAGAGCCGACAAAAGAAGAGGTGGGGGAGGGGAGCTGAGGGAATCCTGGAATGAGGGAAGCCTCGAGGGCTGCGATAATTTCCAAAAACGTTCCTCTCAGCTCGAGGGAGGAGGGGTGATGAAGGGAGGCAACTTTTTTTTTTATTCTCGACTGTGACTGAGGGGTGCTGGATGAGGGATAAGGGATGAGAGGTAAAGGAAGGGGGACGCGTGGACAGAGGAGGAGAAGCAGAAAGAGAGCGAGACGGAACTTTTCCCAGGCAGTGGTGTTGGATCCGAGCAGCTTGGAGCGACCTTAATTCTACACAAGGAGGAAAATTTGCGAGCGAGACAGCGAGAGCGAGAGAGCGAGAGAGCAAGAGAGCGAGAGCGAGAGCGGGAGAGAGGGACAGACCTCTCCCAGGCAGTAGTGTTGGATCCGAGCAGCTTGGGGCAGAGTGCTGCTGCTTGGGCGTACTTGCGCTGCAGCACCAGATGGTCTAGATAGCGCCACCCCACCTGACGGGGTGTTGTTGTGCGTTGGGGACAGGGGGGAGTGGAAGGGGGGCAGTGGGACGGGGAAGAATGCAGGTGGAGTGGAGTGGAGGGCAGCTTGGGGCAGAGCGCTGCTGCTTGGGCGTACTTGCGCTGCAGCACTAGATGGTCTAGATAGCCACCCCACCTGATGATGGGGAGAGATTTGGGGAGTGCAGTGGAGAGGCAGGGGGAAATGCATGTTCTTGACGGTTTGGTGAAGCAGTGAAGACTGAAAAGTGATGCGAGGGAGCAGGTGGAAGTGACGAGCAGAGTAGGATGCTATGTTGCTCTCACTCACTCACCTGTGGCACACATAGGCACCGCACCTCACCTCACCTCACCTCGTTGCACCTCATCATCACCTCCACTCACCCCTCGTCACCGCACCGCACCGCACCTCACCTCTTGAACCAGTCTGTTCTCCGCAACCACGTCTCCATTCCTCCCATTCCCACTCCCCTCCTGCCCCTCCCCATCCGCCTCTCCACCCACTCCCCCTCCTCTCCCCCCCCCCGGCCCTCCTCCGCTGCCCCGTGCTGCCTGCTCTGCTGCCTCTAATGCTGCCTGCACTCGGCCGTGCGCTAATAGCCATTGCACGTGGTCCTGGGCGTCACTGGAGGAGGAAACGTGCAGTGGCAGGGGTGAGGACAGGGGCAGGGGAAGACAATAGTGAGGGGGAGTGAGTGGGAAAGTGATGGGGGCATGTGATGGGATGGTGAGAAGGACTGCAAGAGTGAGCGGGGGCGCGAGAGTGAGAGTGAGAGTGAGAGTGAGGGCGAGAGAGGAGAGAGGAGTCTCACCAGGGTCTAGCCACAAGCACATCGAATGGGCAGAGGAGGACGAAGCATGGCTCGCTGCCTGCATGCCACTGCGCCCCCTGCATGCTGCTGCCTGCAGTGCCGCATGGTGGGATGGGAATTGAGGAATGCGGCATGAGGAGGGATGACGGAGGATGGGGAAGCACAAGGGGCAGAGTAGAAAGGGCGAAAGCACAGTGCATGGAGGAGCAGGGCGAGGAGCACATCAAGGTGCACATCAGCAAGGGGCGAGGGGCGTACCGGAAAAGGGCGAGTGGGCGAGGGCGAAGTGTGTGAGGGTGGTGAGTTGAAATCCATGCAGCGGCAGCGTGTCACACATGACCTCCTGGTTGCGCAGCGTGAGCATGCGGAGCTCAGGAGGCGACGGCTGCAGGGCGGATGCTTCCTGCTGGGGGGATGGCTGTTGGTATGAAGCCGGTGCAGCCGATGCAGACCCGAGGGGTGGGACGGATGAAGGTGGTGAGGCTGATGGGAGAGATGAAGTGGATGCAGAAGTGGGGTCTTGATTTGTGAGAGCGGTGGTTCCTTCAGGTGTGAGGGCAGTGGGTGGCGATTGGAGGGGAGTTTGGATGGATGGGGCGAGTGGAGGGGGGGAAGAGGGGGTAGAGGAGGAGGAGGCGGAGGAGGAGGACGAGGAGGACGAGGACGAGGAGGAGGAGGAGGAGGAGGAGGAGGAGGAGGAGGAGGAGGAGGAGGAGGAGGAGGAGGAGGAGGAGGAGGAGGAGGAGGAGGAGGAGGAGGGCGGCGGCTGCGAGGTAGGGAACGGACAGGAGAGCACGAGAAGACGATCAGCATAGGGAGCGAGGCCTGCTATCAGATGCTCCACTCGCAGCACAGCAAGCACTGCCAGGTACCGGGCTGCTGCCACTGCTGCTGCTGGTGGTGGTGGTGATGCCGCTGCTGCTGCTGCAGCTGGTGGTAGGTGTGATGCTGCTAATGCTGCTGAAGACCCAGCAGGGACAGCAGCGGTTGTGTTACTGCTGCTGCTGGGAGTGGCGGCGGCAGTGGTGTTGGTGGTGGTGGTGGTGGCGGGTGTTGCTGCTGCAGTGGCAGCAGGAGGTGCAGTGGAGCGAGTGCGAATGGCAGCGATCTTTATCGTATCCGCCCATCCAATGGCAAGCGTCGTGTCGTCCTGAAATGGTCCATGCCATGTTATGCCATGCCATGCCATACCATCCCATGCCGACAAAGCATCAGGAAGCCATGCCAGCACATGCCATGCCATGCCATGCCATGCCATGCAGTGCCGTTCCGCAAACAAAACACGCACATATACAGTGCCACGCACATATGCTATCCCTATAAGTTCTTTTGAAGCTTTACAAGGCGGCTTCAAACGAAAAGCCACATGCAAAGCAAACAGCGGACATGAAGCAGCGGCAGCGGCACCAGCAGCAGTGGCGGCGGCGGCGGCGGCAACAGCAGCGGCGGCGGCAACAGCAGCGGCAGCGGCAGCGGCAGTGGCAGCAGCAGCAGCAGCAGCAGCAGCAGCAGCAGCAGCAGCAGCAGCAGCAGCAGCAGCAGCAGCAGCAGCAGCAGCAGTGGGGGCGTACCATCCAGAAAACATGTGGGCGGGAGTCAATCCCAGCAGTGAGGTTGGAGCGCGGGCGGTCGATGTGAGCGAGGGGCGTGGAGGAGGCAAGGCAGAAGAGCTTGATGCCCCTCTCATTCGCCCACAGCAGCACCGTGCCGTGCCACACTATGCACGTGATGGGGCCCTCCCCTGCGTGCAACACCTGGGGTGATACACATGTGCGACGGAGGGAGGTGGGAGAGGGAGCAGCATGGATGGAGGCGTGGAGGAGGCAAGACAGAAAAGCTTCACGCCCCTGTTGTTGCCCCTGTTGGCAGCACCGTGCCGTGCCACACTATACTCGTGACGGTGCCCTCCCCTGCATGCAGCACCTGGGGTGAGAGCAGTGAGAGGAATGAGACGGATGGGAAGGGTAACTGTTCCGTGCCACACTATGTATGCCGTCTTGCCCTCCCTGGACTTGCCCTTCCTCCCTTCGTACCACAACTTCTCCCTCCGGTGGCCTGAACCACCACATCAGAGTGAGCTTCTAGATTTCTCGCAACTTCCATCGCCCGAAGCCACCCCTTGGGAATCAGCACCAGCTCCTCACCACCTCCCTATACTCCCCTCCAATGGCAAACTCTCAGGACCTTCCCGTATCTCGTCCCTTCCCTCCCCCAATCCCATCTCTCGCCCCTTCCCTCCCTCAGCCTGTGCATCTGTCGTCCCCTCCCTCAACCATCCTAAGCCACTCTCCCCCCTCCCCATCCCTCCTTTCCTCCCTTCCCGCCCATCGCACCTAATCCGAAGCCCCAAGCCACCCCTTGGAATCCAGCACCATTTCCCTGGGGCTTTTGAGAATTCTCAAAAGTCACCATTTCCCTGGGGCTTCCCCAGGGTGAAAGGCCTTCCACCCTGGGGCCAACTTTCAGGACCTCCTCCTACCGCATCCCGTCACTCCTCCCCTCCCTCCTCCCTCCCATCCCTCCCCTTCCTCCTCCATCGCACCTGATCCGATGCCCCAAGCCACCCCTTTCGAATTCAGCAGCACCAGCTCTCCAGCCTCCCTGCCCGTGGCAAACTGCCAGGACCTCCCCTATCCCGTCTCTCTTCCCCTCCCTCCCCTCGCCTCTTCCTTCCTCCTTTCTTCGCACCTGATCAGGCGCTCCAAGCTACCCCTTGAAGTTCAGCACTAGCTCCCCAGCCTCCCCGCCCGTGGCAAACTGCCAGGGCCTCCTCCCCCCCCCAATCCCACCTCTCTTCCCCTTTTCCCTCCATCGCACCTGATCCGACGCTCCCAGCCACCCTTTCGAATTCAGCACCAGCTCTCCAGCCTCCCCGCCCGTGGCAAACTGCCTTGACCGGCGGGAGGAGCCAAAGGAGGGGTGCAGAGCGAGGGCGAGGAGTGGGAGGCGGTACTTGAGCAGCAGACAGTCCGGGGAGAAGAGCCCGTGGATGGCGAGGGAGCCGTCGTGAGCGCACGAGGCGATGTGGTTCACCGACGCGTCAAACACCACTGCTCGCACCGGCGCCTTGTGCGATTCGTACTGCTTCACCTGGAGGTGTGGGGGGGAGGTGGGCGGGGGGGAGCAGGGAACAGGGAGAAAGTGGGGTGTTGGCGGGGGGAAACAGGGACAGGAAAACCAGGCTGGGGCGGGGTGGAGGGGGGAAAAGACTGGGTAACAGCGCAGAATTGACAGTGCAGGGAGGGAAGAGGGAAGACAGGGAGGGGACCAAAGGGAGGGAGGGGGACAGGAGAGAGGTGGGAGGGGGGCGGGAGAGAAGCGGGAGTTGCACACCTGGTTGCCAAGCATGTCGAGCACATGCACACAGCCATCGGACGAGCGTGAGGCGCCACCAACCGAGGCAAGGGAGGGCAGGGACGGAAGGGAGGGATGGGGGCGGGAGAGGGGAGCGGGCGGGGGCAGAGAGACCGTGGCAAACTGCCTTGAAGCTGGTGTTGCACACCTGGTTGCCAAGCAGGTCGAGCACATGCACACAGCCGTCAGACGTGCCGAGCGCTAGCATCTTATCAGACACCGACACGCACGTCGCCTGCACGCCACCACGCACTATCTGCGGCACGTCGCCTCCTAGCCTCTGGTACTTAAGTATCGGTTCCTCTTCCTCTTCCTCTTCCTCTTCCTCTTCAGCTTCCTCCGCCGCTTCCTCCGCTTCCTCTCCGCCCTCCTCTCTCCGCGCTCCCGCCTTTCCACCCGCTCCCGTTTCTCCCCTTTCTCTCCCCGTCTTTCCCTCGTCCCCTTTTCCCCCCCTTTCACGGTTAATCGATACCGCGCCCTCTCTTTCTCCTTCCAACTTCCGCCCTGATCCCCGATCATCCCGCGCACCCCGCTCTCCCCCCTCTCCCGCCTGCGCCTCCCCCGACACCCCCGCGGTGTGATTTCCCGCCATCCGCGACAGAATCTCCGCGAATCGTTCCGCCACAGCGCCCTCTAGCGCCTTTTCCGCCTCGGGGCTTTCCGAAGGCGTGGCAGCCGCTCCGCCACTGCGTGCTACAGCTGCCCGCTCCGCGCTGCTCTGCTCCGCGAGACGCGCCGCCGCTGCGTCTGGAGCGGGGTGCGCGTCTGTAGCGCGGGCTGCTACAGCCGTCGGCGCTGCTGCCTCCGCGGGGACATGCGCTGCTCTAAAGCCCGCGCGCACTGCCGGCAAGTGACGATGCTGATGATGCTCGTGCTCCTCCTTACGCTCATTCTTATGCTTAAGCTTATGCTCACACCCGGCTGACGACGCTGCGGGGACTACACGCGGCATTCGCGCTACAAACGGTACCCGATACGGTATGAGATCGAGAAGGAATTGCGGCGAATCGCGTCGGATGGAAGCCGAAGCGATGAGAGGGTGGGGAAAAAACTTTCACGGTGACGCACCGAAGGCAGCGACGCCGCATCGTACAGTCGCAGCTATACCAGTACGATGCCCGCGTAAGGCTCTTAACAGACAGCGTGCATGTCTCCACGCGAGAGTCGCAATCGTTTATTGTTACATATGCGAAGCGACGCTACCATATGAAAGCTATGGGTCCCCTCATACTCACTCGTACTCATGCATACAGATGCAGTGGTCAATAGGCGTGTGCATAGTCCCTAAATGCCTAGTTGGAATTTCGGGGGTGTGCGTGGGGCCGGGACGTCAGTTAGACGTTTGGCTTCCTCACAAAATGTTCGAACTACATGTAGAATGGTGAGAAACACAGAGCTAAAATTTAAGCAAAGAGCTTATATGATAGTATTTGTTATAGTGGAATGAGATCAAAAGAATATCAACCCTAATAACTACATCATTGTCAAACATTATACAGCTGCAAAACTATTTGTACGCGTCCCTTTTATAATTGACGCACGAATGTAGATGGGGGAGGGAGGGGGGGAGCAGTGTGCTTTTTGTTTTCGTCGTTCCTTTCTTTTCATTCCTGATGGCAGCAAAGGTTGGAGAATTTTAGCTTACCATGGATGCATCTTTTAGATGTCCCAAGCAACACCTTGGTTACGACCATATATAACCTTAACCCAAGCAACACCTTGGCTTTAGACATGTACAAATGTTTTTATGGACATAGAAAAAATTCGCACAAAATCTGCCAGGCTTGTGAGGTGTTTTGTGAGCTCCTGATACTATTTTAGGGCTTCAGGGATGGTAGTGTGATGCAGCAGAATCAATCGCTTTATTTCTAGGATCCGTACAAACTAATCAATACTCGTGCAACACTAGTCACTAAGACCTGAAGGTAATCATGGCTGCAGACAACAATTAGGCACTAGTTACTAGGACGAAAACAAGTCTGGCGCCTGTGCTGCAGCCGTTTATAAGAGACTGAGCTGCGATTGCTTACTCACTACCGCTCCACATTTACTTGAGGGGAACCAGGACGTTGCTGATCTCGTAGCAGATAGCCGTGGGGTCCTTGAACAGCACCTTGGTGACGTTCGCGAGCTGCGTGCCCTGCTGCGCAAACTGCGGGCCCAAGCTAATCGTCTTGCCGGCGCCCTGGTACTTCTGAATCTGGCCGTTGGTGCGGAACGTGCTGTATCCCTGGCCGACCTTGTCCTTCACGAAGCGCTGGGGCAGGGCCTGGAAGTTGAGCATGTGGTTCTTCAGAAGGTCCTGGAGAGTGACCGCGCTCTTCGCAAATGGCTTCTGCGTGGCGCAATAAGGCACGAGCACGGGATGTCAGAAAAAGACCCAAGGAGACGTGAGCGACGTGCGAAGGGCTAATCGCGAAGAGATTTTGCGAGGTGTGTATGAGAGTCCGTAGAAGAGTTTTGGAACAAGAAAACAGTGGGTGGGAGTCTTTCCATTTATTTTGCAGCGAGAGTACTTACCAGGGCGGTAGCCGGCTGAACTTTGAACGCAGCGTTTGACGGTACGAGGCAGGTGAAGCCAGTGGTGGAGGTGGAGAGGTAGTCAGTAATAAACTTGGTGCCTGCGCGCCACAACAACCTCGGCATCGGTTAGATCACGCAGAAGAGTGCTGCGAGGAGTTTCGACGTTACGGCAACTGACGAATTCGATATTAGAATATCGATCGCCTCGCACAACTGAGGGAATAGAAGCTGAATGTCATTGTAGGAGTCTACAAACCTGCTTTGTTGACGATGGAGAGGTAGGTGCTGTGCTGGCCTCCCTTCTGCAGCGCCTGTGTGATGAGAGTCCACTGAAGAGTTCCATCGCGAACCACTGGTGCCGCAGACACACACGCGGCGCACGACAGCGCTAGGACGAGTAAAGCGATGAAGAAAACGCGAGCCATGATCGAGTGTTGGAGTGCTGGAACTGAGAGTAAGAGTGGCTGAATAGTCGAGATAGAGCGACAAGTGATCAAATTCGATGATGATTTGAAAAGCGAGTGCCGCCGACTTTTGTACCACCGAGGCTGCGTATCATGTGCTCTTCATGTGAAGCGTTGGCTCGAATTCGTGGAGTCACGGACGGGGTGCCTACTGCTCCGCACCGCCATCATGTCGAGCGTCGCGCGGCTGTCCAATGGTCGGCCGTGTGGTGAGCGTCGCTGAGTGGGAATCTCTTGCTCTCTGCGACGAATCGTGCTGAAATTCACTGTAGTATGTTCCGTTACTGCCAAATGATACATTAAAGTGGGATCCGCTGATATATTCTAGATACTGAGACCTTAATGTGGGCTGGATTCATATATAAAACGTAAACGAGTCCAAAAAACATAAAGCAATCGAGAAATGTTATTCTGTTCATCTACCAATTTGAGCTTGAAAACACTTGTTCGTTAGCTCTGCAAAAAGTTTCATATCAAGGCTGGGGATTGCTTTATGATCGGAGGAGGAATTTAAGACGACCAAACTGGGTCATCAAGCAGCCAAGAGGAGTAGATATCGGGGGAAATAGAGGGGGGTTTTTCCTCGACAAACGACACTCAACGCATGTACCGTAATACCCCGGATATAAGACCCCCTCCAGTTGTAGACCCCCGGGTCTAAAATACGAGGGGCGGGGGGGGGGGGGTACGCTAAATAGGTCTTTTTGTTATACCCCCCTAAATGGGGGCTAACATTATAAGACCCCCCTCCCCCTAGAGAATCACTCATTCTGATCGCTTTTCTGCCCCTTTCCGTGTCAGAATGTGATATTTGTCTAGTGTGCAGTGGGGTACTCTATAGTGAGTACAGCCCGGTTAGGGTTGCTATTTGTATCCCAACTGCCTGCTAGTGAAACTCCCTTCCTTTCATTCCTGTTTGACCTAGCTTCTTTGACATGCTATCAGAGCGTCTACGCTCCTGGCCTGTGGGCCCACCTGCTTCCGCTGCTGTACTGTCCTTCGCGCGCCCCGTGGCGCGCGACGTTTTTTCCTCCCGCCACGCGCTCGGGGCGCGTGGCGGTTTTCTGCCCGCCATGCGCTCGGGGCGCGTGGCGGTTTCACGTCGTCCGACACGGCACCCCAAGGGACCCGCCCAACCCCCCCCCCCCCCCCGTTATTCGTCGCGGCACCCCAGGGGACCAGCGCGCCGCCCCCATCGTCCGTCGCGGCGCCCCCCGGGGACTGTCGCGCCGTCCCCGTCGTCCGTCGCGGCGCCCCCGGGGACCCGCGCGCCGCCCCCCATCGCCCGTCGCGGCGCCCCCGGGGACCCGCGCGCCGCCCCCCCCCCCCCCCCCCCCCCCCCTCGTCGCCCCTCGCGCTGCCCCTTGACCCCGTGCGCCGCGAGGCTGCTTCCCCCCCCGCCCCTCCCCTTTCTCCTTCCTCTCCCTCCTGCGCGTGCAGCTATGGGGGTGGCGGGTACGGGGGTGGCGGGTGTGTGAGCCGTCCCCTGCTCCTCCTCCTCCTCCGTCTCCCACTGCTACAGCTGACGTTGAGGGGGGTGGATGTGTGGGAGCCGAGGGAGTGGCGCTAGGGGGGTGCCGTGGAAGTGGAGCTAGGAGTGCATAGGGGGGTGTGTGAAAAGAGGTCTACGACAGTGGGGGAGGTTGAACGGAGGTAGCCGTTGTGGAGCCAGCATCACCAGTAGTCCGGATGCCCTTGCTCCGGTAGCCAGCGAGCCCGTTGCGCCAGTCGCCCGTGGGTCCGTTGCTCCAGCCGCTCGACTTAGCCGCGGAGCCAGTTACTCCAGTAGTCCGGGGCCCTTCCTCCGGTAGCCCGTGTGCAAGTTGCTCCAGTAGCCCGTGTGCCAGCAGCTTCAGCCGCCGCCTCCAATCTCCTCTCCTCTCACAGTCCCTCCTCCTCCTCACGAGTCCTCTATGTCTCCCACTAGCTTTGTTTGTGCTTGTGAACTTATTATGTGACTGCTTGTTGTGCTGATTATACCCCACTTCGCCTATGGGGGTGTGTCAGAATGTCATATTTGTCTAGTCTGTAGTGGGGTACTGTATAGTGAGTACAGCCCGGTTAGGGTTTGCTATTTGTATCCCAACTGCCTGCTTGACCTAGCTTCTTTGACATTCCGCACCAAATCCCATAATATTTTCATAAACAAGGGGTACAGCCAGTCACAAAAGCACATATACTCATCATCATGTCGAATTCGTGTATCAATTTTGAATGCTAAACACGAATTTCATTGCGCGTATTCCCTTTGAATGCTAAAAACGAAGTACATAGTGTTGACATATATGGCTTCCAAAACACAAGTTGTATACACGACCTTATGATAAGACCCGGGTCTTATAAAATGTAGCTAATTGTTAAGACCCACCCCCGTTTTTGGGTTGGGATTCTTATAATACCACCGGGTCTTATATCCGAGGTATTACAGTATTTGGCGGTCCTCATGAGGAAAGGGGCAGAATAATTTCTTCTACACATAAGAACTCAAAACCTGGTGGAACATGCGTTCGCATCGATGTTCTATAGGGCCTTACGGCGGCCACCACCTACAGGCTTCAAGGGGTAGTCTGGCCTGCCTGAGATATCGGGGGGGGGGGGGGGGTGGGGGGGGGGGGGGGGGGGAGGGGGGGGGGGGGGGGAAATACATGTTTAGCGTGTGGATAGCAAATGAGATGGCAATGAGCAACTGAACAGAGAGTGGTAGTGACAGGAACTGCGTCAGAAGAACAAAATGTGCAGATGCCCAGGTTGCTAGCGAATTGGAACCGAGCGCTTGATGGTAGCGAGCGAGTATTAGGCGGAAGAGGAGATTGCCTTGTAGGTTAGGTTGTTCACGAATGAATGCATGAGAGAGGTTTGGGAGCAGATGAGGAGGAGAAGAGGAGGGGACTCAAGTCTAGTGGATGTCGTGAATGAGAGGTTGTTGCTTGTACAGGAGACGCAAAATTCTAGCAAAAGTGGAGAT